TAGCTCATGAGAGCAATAAATGTGGGTAAAAATCATTCAAGATTGTGGTGGCCTCAGTTGTAATAAGGAAAGTTTTCTGAGCAGCTATATATGGACATTGTGTTACTGATTCCTATGAGATATTTCTGAAAATCCCCTTTAAATTAAATTATTTTTCCTTCATATGTACTTCCCTTAAAAATACAGTATTTCTGCACTGGCTGTGGAAAACTGCTGTTGACATTGCTGTCAAGTTCCATTTGAGCAGATGCCTGTGCATAAATATTTAAATGCAAGTGAGGAGATAACAGGAAATAGTTTTCCAGTGCCTCATATGTACTTTCTGAAATTTAATTCAAAAGCGCTGTCAGATAGCTATGTTTTTATACTTTATCTGGTAAGAAACAAACTTCAATTACTAAAGTATTCAGRGTCAAATCACCTTAAAAAACAAACTTATCCCTCTGCTGTATTAAAGTGAAAGGAATTAAATCAATACAAACATAGGCTGCTAACCTGGAAATGTAACTAGACACTTGCTAAAAGTGAGTCAGGCTGTTCTGGAATTAGGACATAAAAATACTTTTGTGAGCATATATATCTTCTTGCCCAAATTAACTAGGATAAATACAGTAGTGGAAAGTTTGTAGGCTGGCTCCTGAATATGAGAGATCAGATTCTCCTCTTCATAATCTCTCTCCCTCTTTAGGCACCTTGAAATTGTTCCACACATAATTTATTTAAAGTTAAAATTTATAAAAATTCTGCCACTTTGGGAGTTGGATGCAAGAATAGATTAAGCCAGCTTTGCTCTGCACTGTAACTGCTTCACAAAATCTTGTGTTTGTGGTTCATGCTATTTTCAGATTAGACGTGACTGAGAGCAAATGGAATACTTTCATTAATCTAAAAAAATTCACCATTTTTGAGTACAATTTTTTGAAGAGTATTACTTCCTAGTCATATTCCTCCCTTCAATTTATGCCTTTTTTTTTTTGTCATATTTACTGTTGCTAAAATTTACCCTTCCTCTCTGTGACTATGTTTCATGGATTTGAACCTTAAAAGCGAGCCCTGTGAGATGGAGAGGTTATGTGAACTGAAACCTGTGGTGATGCCTGAACACAATCACCGGTCTGAGCAGAAACCAGCAGCCGTCACACGCCGCTAACCAGGCCACCATGTCAGTCAACATGGGAAACAAATGCATGACCTACTAATGAAGCATTGCAAAACTACTTTCTTTTCTAATTTTAGCCATCWGATACACTAGGATTTCATAGTAGGCATGTGACACCAGACAAATTCATGCCCTTTGTTCAGAACTTCCCCATAACTACTCGGTGTACTTGCACAACGCCACTGCCTGGGTTCCTTTTTTCTATGTCCTGTGTTTCAGGGAATTAGGAACGTCATCCTGAAAGTACTGACCATGAAAAGCAGTGCATTTCACCCTGTTCCCCCTCATCTCAGGCTATGTCTCATTTTGGGATTTTTATTACCCTGTCTGGTCTTTTCCTGCAATATTTTCTTGAAGAGGCTTGAAACTTCCAGCTGAATTTGCCTGAATTTATGACATTGTTCATAAGAAATTTACTCACATTTCCACTRTATATCATGGTTGCCTAATATAGCAGATGTTCCCTCTTGTACTGCTGACACTTTCTTTGCTTCACTGTCATACAGGTGACAAATGTAATATCAGACATCTGAAAAGARCATTTGTCAGAAAAATATAGTAAAACATTAAATATCCAAAGAGTGCAAGGAACATGTGTGAGCATTTTGTTTTAAATGGCAGGAACAGTATCCTAGTTTATATTCTAACAGAGGAGTAGAAGTAAACCAGGGCAAGACTGAGTAAAAACTAATAAAATAGTAATTTTTTGGAAAACAGTAGTAGAAAAAGAAAAAAAAAGAATTTAAAAAATATTTGCCTGCAAGAACAAAGAGTTCAAAAAGTCCAGGCACTAGAGCAGAAAGAAGTTATGAAGAGCTATTTGTCTCCTGAAGAAGTGGGAGTAGTATCAAATTCCCTATTACACAGGCAGGATGCAGGGGCAGAGGAGCCTTTCAACAGGTCAAACACAAAAAGCAAATATTCAGAAAGGGGTAATTAGCACAGGTTGCTAAGGACATGTATAAATGAATGTGCATAGTAGAAACCAGAAAGGGCAAGTCAATAATAGATACAGCTAAGGAGAGGCCTGAAGAAATTTATCCTGGAAGCAGAAAGAAGACCAATATGAGCACTGGTCATGTACTCAGCAGGAGGGAAGGTTTTTGCCAAACAAGACAGAGAGAGCCAAAGCCCTTATGGTCTTTTTTTTTTTTTTTTTTTATATCAATATTCACTAAGAAGAATCTGTAGAATCATCTTTCTAATATCAGTGACAAAAGGGTAATATTTCAAACTGGAAACATTAGGAGCGAATTAAAGAGCATGTCTTTCAAGAGATTTCTTTTTTTGAACCACTTAAGTCTGGCAAACTAGGATTTAAAAAACAAACAAAAAAAAACAAAACAAAAAACCCAAACAATAAAACAAACAAAAAAAAACCAACAAAAACAACACAAAACCCAAAAAGCCTGACCAAAACAACTTCAGAACTGGTGAGTGGTTAACTCTTCAAAATTCTTGAATTAAAATATTATCAAGGATACTAATGAGCTTTTTCATAAAAGTTAGAATGAAGACATTGCAGACMACCCAATTTAATGTCAGTTACTGGATTTTATATGTATAGATATAGATATGGATATACAGCTATTTAGATATATTCCTAAAGAAGGTAACAACAAGATGAGCAACAGAGCTCTGTCAAAGGTCCAGTCCTGTTGAGTATTGTTACTGATAACTGGGCAGGGGAGCACACAGCAGGCTCAATGCACAGGCTCACTSTTGTCATGTTGGAGCAGACAATGAGAAATCAGAACACCAGACAAACCAGAGAACCGCAGAGTACCACACTCAGACAAGTCTCARCTGCATGGAAACAAGAGCAACCAGCTGAAGAAAAGGAGCTAAAGCATGTCATGAAGCATGGGCAGAACCAGAGCCACGATCATGATACTGCATAGAAAATTCAAATTTCCAGCTGGAGGAATATGTCCCACCAGATGAAAAGCAATTCTTCTGCTCTGGCAGGGGTCCAGCTCCAGGTCCTGTCTGGGAAGCTGCACAAGCTTGGTGAAAATGAGAGGGTGCAGAGGAGGRCAGTCAGACAGTGAGCCAAAAATCACGAGTTTTGGGAACACACTAAAAGAAATGAGTGGGTTGGGCTGTTAAAGAGAATCCTGAGATCTGGCACATGCATCATTTCAGGCTGGAAAAGACCCAGAAAAGGAAGACCTAACAGTCCTCCATCTCTTGAGCAAATAGCGTAAGTAAGCCACTTTCACTGCCAGGCAAAACACAAAGAAACAGTTCTGATCCTAAGAGAGTTTTTAGCATTGGAATACAGAGCCTGCATGCCCTGGGTGATCATCACCATGCCCAGCCTTTCGGAGATTAGACCAACATATATACATTTTGGCAGAGATAAAGAGGAAGAGAATTTTGAGGTCTATACTGTTCTTACCTTCCAGTAGCGGCTATTGCCATGAGTGACCAGGTAAGTGCAAAAAAAAAAAAGGCTGTGTGATTTCAGCATCTCTCTTGCCTACCACCATTTTCAATCCTTTTGTCCGTTTAAAACAAGTGAGTTTTGAGTGATGCCTGATGAAAAGTTATTTTCCTAGAACATTCACTGTATAGTCAAAGTCAGAAAAATTTGGGGAGTAATTCTATTCAGAAGACAAATTAATAGTTCACAGAGAAATCTGGCAGTAGAGCACACCCTGTCTCAGGGAAGGAGCCACTTCCAGACTTCTGACTTCAGCATGAGTCACACCTCAGCTGTGTCAGAGACACTGTTGTCAATGGCTTTCTCTAGAAATTAGCTAAAATCCACCTGCTGGCATGCACTGAAAGGGTGAATGACACCATGCAGCAGTGGTGCATCATGCTGCAGAAGAGATGGACACAAGGACCCAGGTGTAAAATCTCAGAGCCAAACCATGAAATATAGGTTGCACTTTCTGTCATCTGGCATTGTGAAACACATCAAATTTCTTCCAGGTGCAAGTGACCCTTCCTGGTTCCAGTCTCAGGACAGGGATGCCTTCTGTAAAATGGGCTTGTGAAAGAAAAGAATTCCCTTGCATCATTACRAGATTTAAATAACATTTTGGGTTTTGCTGTATTACAGCTTTATTATTATATTACTATAACTATTTGACTACTATATTTTCTGACATGTGGGAGCTACAGCATCTCATGCATGCTTTCAAAAACCTTTTTTTTTTCACCACTTATCGTAATGTCTAGCAGAACATTTCAGCAATCAACTTTCTTATCTGCTTATCTGCTTATCTGCTTCCAGTGAAATTTTTTGTGAAAACTGTAGCCAACATGACTCAACCATTTCCGAGCATAAAACAAAGAAAAAATACATTGTTTTGCTAATGTTAAAAGTCCTGGCAGTGATTTTTTTGTATCATASCTTTGCTTGTGTAAGTTACAGATTTTAATTGAGACAGCCACTGACAGTAATGGCAGCAAAAGTCAGAAGTGACTTGATTGCATTTTCCCATTGCTCCAAGGTGTGCTCCTTTCACAGAAGGCACTGCTGACAAATTTCCCTAAGTAACTCAAGAAAATAAAAATGATGATGTGTGTTTAGTTCAGATAAGAGTTTCTCCATGATACAACATTGTTTCTAGTGGCTTTTGGGGTAAGGTGCATACACAGAAACAAATGAACATCAGGCATGAAGCTCTTCTTGTCCCTGCCCCTTGCCTGGCCCCTCTGAGAGATGGAGCTGTGCCTGAGGACACGTGAGCTCCTCAGAAATCACAATACTTCARCGTGATCAACAAAAGCATAATTTATTATTTTTTTTCAAAATTACAGATCATGAATCCTACCGCTGGTATAGACCAGAAGTGAAAGCAGGAGATCTGCTCCTTAGGAGATGAAGGAAAAGTCATTAATTGTTGCAAAGTCCTGAAGAGGTGAGTGTCAGATACAGGAGCAGAAGAGGCTCTTGCCTATGCCCAGGAATCCTGGCCCTTGAGCTGTCCCCAGCAGCCAGGGGCTAGGAAGGTTTCTCGTCTCCAAAGCTGTGTACAAGGCTCATCAGCGTTTGAAGAGTTGCCCTGATACTGTTTCTCAGAGCAGGAGCCTGTCTGGCAAACCCTGTCAGTTTTTGCCTTTTTGTGTCTCATAYGTCATAGTGACACCAGCTTCATTTCTGGAGGAGAAAAAAAAATTAAAAAAGAAGTCTGAATTGAAGTAAATCCCACCAAATTCCCACTTTGAGGAATTGGGAGGAATTCCTCAGTCTTACAAGAACTGAAATAGGGTGGAGAGCATCTACAGAAAGCAGCAATGCAGTTGCTGCAATCGGGCATTTTTCTTGGAAAAAAAAAAAAAAAAAAGCAAAACATTATCTAAAGGCAAAAATTTTTTTATGAGAAGTATATAGTTCCCACTGCCGTTCTGCTAAACAATCTAACTTTGTCTTTGAGATTTTTGAGATTTGTTTTTGAGTTTTCCTGGGCTAGATGTCATGTTAAAATGCCATTATACAACATTCCATTTACAAAAGTATCTTGGATCACAAAATGTACCAGGACGTTGTGTGACTCACTGTCACACTGTCTCAAACTAGCAAAATAGAAAAGTTGAATTTTCTGAACAAGAGAAATGAAAATAACRGATTTCAACAAAAACTTTATTTACTCAACTGCACTCTTGAGAAGAAAACAGAGTAATTTTTGTTGAGACAGTGTTTTATTCTTAATATTTCAAGCAACAGGCATAACCAAGRCAATGTTCCAGACTTACCATGCATCTCTTTTCATGTTCCTTCTTCATAGTGATTACATCCCAACTTTATTTTTGCCATTTGGAAAATACAATGCAGGTCATGAAGCTGCAACTCCATTGTTCCACAAGGGACGACAGGGAAAACTTCTCTCAGCATTTCCACTTCACCGTGCAGCCCAGGACATGATGCACCATGTTCTTTCTCACTAATCCACAGGATTTATTTCCACAGCACACTGTCTTTATATTATATAGGTATTTCAGATTTTTTTTTTTTAATGGCAGATAATTTATGATTTTATCTTTTACCAAGATACAGACAATAAGAAATTTCAGCTACATTTTCTTTGATGCCTGTATGTACACTTTTTTGGTGTTGCTGCATTCTGAAGAATGGCAAAATGATAACATACAATTACTATAGATGAACCTGTCCAGATGAAACAGCCAGAAATCTGTTACTTATCATCCCGAGCACAAAACTGGGAATAAACTCTCCTCTGATCACAAACTATTCTCTGGTTCATTAAAATTTTAACCTGCTACTAAAATCATCCTTTCATGGCTGGAATAACAGCAGTTCCCTGAAAAAGCAGTGCTGCACACTTACCATCCCAGGGAAACAATCTTTAAATTCTGTAATACCAGAAATAAAATGTGGGACTGAAGGCTAAGGAAGACACCTTGATGTTATCTGGTTCAATGCAAAGTAATTTCCTGGTTCTCATTAATTGGTCCTGATATTTCCAGACATTTTCCATGCTGGTTTATTTCCTTTATCGCAATGTTTTTCAAGGTGACAATTAGGTCAACATTTTATAATGTATCACTAAATTTTAGCAGATAATTTGTGAACTGACTGCATTAGCTTTTCTTTTGTACCTGATGAGAATCTTTTGTAAATTTGTTGAACTTAGACACAAACTGAGCAAAAAAAAAWTATTCCTAACTCTATACTGTGTACTATTGTATTATGGTTGGAACAAATGTATTGACTCATATACTGCAGGTAATAATTAAAATATAAGTTTTAGTGATTAGGATGGGAAGAAATTAAATATATCTTCTGAAAATTACATTATTTATTAGGTATTTTTTGGCCCCTGTGGTATTACAAGGATTTCCCTCTATGTAGAGCAATGGTTTTCTTCTTTATTTTTAACTCATATTTGTAAGTCACTCTGTTTCTAGCCCTCAGTAAATTATGATGTAAACTGTTCATTAATTAAATTCCTGTCCATTTCATCTCGTTTGTCCTAAGGTTCTCCTACATTTTTGAAGAATTTTACTGGACTCATTKATTTTTCTTTTTTATTGTGCAAATCACTTGGGTTTTGCTTAGCAACCTCCATCAGCTTGCTTGATAAATCTCTTCATACACAAAAATTCAGATATTAAATACAAGGCCAGAGTTTTTATCTGATGGGAAATCCAGTCTCTCAATCCCACATTGCTGGGATAGGTAAATAGTGAGGCTGCTGCTGCTAAAAGAGCTAGTGTTCTCCTCCCCTCCCCTCCCCTCCCCTCCCCTCCCCTCCCCTCC